TTTAGCTAGTTTAATTATACGGCTGCATTGATTATATTTTTTTTAATTGTTTTGAGCTCTGGAAAATAGGTATTTTCTACTGTGTTAAGCCTAAACGGTGAAATGTAACTCTATTTAAATAAAATCAGCCAACAAGAGATAAATTACTTAACTAAATTAAGTTAAATTAATGAAAACATCCCCCCCCCATATCTGTACATGTAGCTATATCTGGGAAAACCTATTCCCAGATCTGTACAACTAAAATGGACTTAGAACTTTATTTATTGGCCAATAATAAAACACACTTTTTAAAGGAAGGGACATCTAAAAAGCAGTTTGTGAGATCTGTTATTTTCATGGACAAGGGTGTACTAGGTGTAGTATACCGTTGGGCACACCTAATGTAATAACATGGGCGTGAATGGATGGAGATATCAAAGTACTTTTATAGCATCCTTGGTGCTTCTCCGTTCCAGATCCATGATGGCATAAAACAGTAGATTAGAATTTTTACCACTGATGGACAGAATGCTAATGAATATCACTTAATTTGCTCCTGCATGTATCTGTGACCAGTGTGCATTTTTGGTAAGCCTCAACAGTTTCATCCATTGATTGTTTAAGTCATACAAACCAGGAATCTGGAACTTGAGAACTATCTGGGTTTGTTAGCTGTGTCCCTTGGCAGGACAAAGCAGCAAGAACGACTGGGGGGTTTCATCAGTCATTAACCCAAAATCTGATTTGCTGTTTTGTAAGTCAGTGAATTAGCAGGCATTTAATTTAAGCAGGGACAGCCAATCAAAACGATTCATAGTAGCGCTACCCATCGTGCTAAGAAGCCACCTGGTTGGCTTGATTTCATTTCGTATGTTGTAATGAAACCCAGGCATTTTGATTTGTCAACCTGTTTACAGTTTAAACACATTGCAGGAATCTAACTAATTATGATTTATTCATAAAGCATTTAAGAAAACAATCTTGTGCAAAACCAATCGGTCTTTTAAAAAACCCACATAGTTTGTAGAAGCCATTGGTAGAAAAGGGGATAGGTGAGCTGCCCGGGGTAGGAGTTGAGTTCCCGAGTCGTCCTTTGTGGACGATGTAGGTGAGAACTCCTCCGGAGCCCCGGGCTTCTCCGCGATCCAGGACGCCTTCGCCGTAGCGAAGCTAGAAGCCGCCGCCACCGCTGCAACTTAAACTGAACTGTGAGTTTTTCTTGTAAGCAGACGAACCGACCCTGGAAGTTTGCTTTCTATCTTGGACTCTACTCTAACTTGGATAATAAGTTCTTCCCTATACCTGAGGTGGATTGAGGGAAAGTGAACTTAAAATGGCGATGGATTGATATTTTTCAGCAAGAAGTGAAAGTGATTTCCGGTCTGGAACTTTTGCTACTTTTAACCGGTGAATTATCTGCTCTGGCTGAATTGCTTAAGACTTTTTAACAACTCGAATTTTGTTGCAAATATGGCTTCGAGAAAAATTGTGCCTTCAACTGTAAAATCTACTACATCCCCGATGTCCCAGACACCGCAGCCAACTTCAAAAACTTCCCACCCGCCTCACCCTCCATCTTCTTCGTCCCCACCGCCTCCTGGTAGAGAGCTGCAGGATATGATGTCTGCAACTATTAAACAAATGACTGAGATGTTTCAAGCGATGGATGTTAAAATGCAAAATAGATTTGATCAATTATCACAACAACAATTGGATTTATCACAACAACAACAAGATTTATCACAGAAACATGAGGATTTTTGTTTGAATGTGGCAACTGCTTTTAAAGGTTTGGCTGATTACGTAGACGCGGTGGCAGAGAGGGTGGAGGAGAATGAACAAAGAGCAGAAGCAAGTGACCATAGACTTGAACTTGTAGAGGAGAGTCTGGAAAATGTTAAGGGTGATGTGCTGATTGCTCAATTTCGTGATATGGAGTTTGCAATTCGGATTCGCGGGCTGGCTGAGGACCCAAAGGAGAATTTAAGACAAGTAATTGCAGATGCACTTGGGGATGCTCTGTCTTGTGGCCAGGAAATTTACTTGGAAATAGAGCGTGTTTTTAGGGTGAATTCTTGGATTGCTCGACAAAGAAATTTGCCTAGAGATATAGTGGTCTATTTTACAAGAAAGTCGAGACGTAATGAAATAATGCAGCTCTTTTACCAACAGAGATTTAAGATTTTAAATCAAGACATTATTCTTTTAAAAGAAATTCCAGCGAAAATACTTAGAGCGCGCAGAGACTATGCTTTTTTGGCACAGGAGCTCAAGAACAGACAAATAAATTTCAGATGGGACATACCGGTGGGCATAATTGTAACGCTAGCTGGTAAACGCTACAGGCTTAACTCGATTAAGAAAGCTAAGGATTTTATGGCGTCTATTTTACAGTCAGAATGCCCACCCACATCCCAGAGGACTGATGTGGCTGAGCAAATGATTGTGGATCTCCCCTCTGCTCCCGTTCAGGATGTAGAGGGGAGCCCAAAAGCTGATGGGAAGGAACAAAGAATCACGCGCGCAGCTCATAGACGCAAGGAAAAGGAAAGACAGATGACAGCCCGCCCGACAGCTGATAGCCCTACAGATGATTGTCAGTTACCGGCTATTTCGGAGCCAGTAGGTGGCGCTAGACCTAAGGTCTTTGTGAAGTCCTATGCATCAAGTATTGTCAGTGGATTGAAACCTGCCAATGTGTAAGCTTATATCTTGGAATGTGGGTGGACTTAATGTTCCCCACAAAAGACGTAAGATTTTTCATTATCTAAGACATTTTAACAATGATATTACATGTTTACAAGAGACTCATATTGTGGCTAAAGATCAAAAATTATTATTGAACTCTAAGCTTGGAGATTTGTTTGCAGCACCTGCCTTAAAAAAGAGAGCTGGGGTTGCAATATATATTAAAAGACATCTTTCACCTATTTTAAAAGAAGTTGATAAAGAAGGAAGATATCTATTCGTGGAAATAAATTTAAATGGAAAAAAGTGTTTAATAATAGGGGTTTATGCCCCTAATCAACTTGCAGCTCAAAAGCAATTTTATAGACAATTACATCAGAAAATTGTGGTGATGGACTATAACTCTTTGATTGTTATGGGAGACTGGAACGGTGTTCTGGATACGTTAAAAGATTTATATTCTCTTTATATCTGGACTTTTTGCTTAGCCTAACGTTTTAATCTACTGGTTCTTTCTCTAGGTCAGTTTTCTTCAATCTGTGCCTTCCAGATGTGCTGAAATTATAACTCTTGAAATTTCTAGTCAAGGCAGGAAATACGATTTGAGGATTTGTGTGGACTTTAGCTAGTTTAATTATACGGCTGCATTGATTATATTTT